AACCCTAGCACACACACACACACACACACACACACACACACACACACACAAGCCAAAAAAAACTATGTGTTTATTAATTAGTTGGGCATTTACTAAATACTTTGCATTTATAATACTATTTCTAGTCTTTCCTATTCTCACAGAAATGTAAATTTATTCTTTAAATAATTTACCTTTTAGGGCTGGGAATATGGCTTAGTGGTAAAGTGCTTGCCTGGTATGCATGAAGCCCTGGGTTCAGTTCCTCAGTTCTACATAAACAAAAAAAGCTGGAAGTGGTGCTGTGGTTCAAGTGGTAGAGTGCTAGCCTTGAGCAAGAGAAGTTAAGGTCTAGGCCCAAAGCTCAAGCCCCAGGACTGGCAAAAAAGTTTACCTTTTAATTGAGATAAAAACAAGATGCATGAAACAGTTAAGAATCAACTTAAGTGCTAAGGAGACTGCTGTCTATTAAGTAATTGGGAAATTTAGAAATAAAGGTATTGATGTAAAATGCAAAAGTTGAGATTTCAAAAAGGAGATGGGACTTCAGTTGGGCCATAAGAAGAAGTAAAATTTAGATGACAGGATTTTCTATACAGAAATAATAGTTGAAGCAAATACATAGAAGTGCAAATCAGTGTGTATGTAGCACTATGAGAAGACTGAAGCAAAAATTGTATTTTGGAGTCTTAGGGCTTTAGAGATTTGTGATAAGCCTTGAAGCTCAGGCGGAATAATTAAATTTATTTATAATGCTGTAGAAAACAGTTGTAGATTTACTAGACTGGTGAAAACAGTTTCTTTGGAAGATATCTCTGACTGCCACACAACTAAGAGTGGATGGAATTTGTTGTAGACTGGGGTGTGGAGAAAGCAGAGTTTAGACTGTCAACATTTGGAGTAAGTACCCTTCTATCAATACCTCAGAGGGAGGAGTTCTGCTGTGACACAAGCCCAATGTTGGCTTCTGCTGGTTCTACAGAGTTTTCTGGATTTTGAACCAAAATGGAGTAACTTCCTAAAACCTTGCCACAATTCTGCCTTAATCAGTTGGTTATATGATGGACAGTCCACAGGTCTGGATGCCAGATGTCAGGAGTGCTGTTAGCATATAAGTCCTTTCCTAAAGTGTGATAGAGGACACATCCTCATTTCCAAATGATGAAACTTAGGGATACTGGTAATATTAATAGTCTTATTATCCAGTTTGGAAGGCCAGGAGAGAATTATGAAATCTAAGGAAAATAAAGATAGAACCTATAGAATCTAGGAGAAGTGTAACCCAGGATATGTTTAGATAGTTTGTCTTTTAAGGTTAGTGCTGGCTGTGCTGTTGTATGCTGTAAATCCAGAACTTGGGAGGCAGAGGCAGGTTCAGAAGATTTCAGATTCAAGACCAGCCTAGGCTGCATAGCAAGTCTAAAGAGAAAAAAAAATAAGATAATGTTTAAAGTACAAAAAATGGAGTTGGAGAAATAATCCAGCAGTAGGGCCCTTGCCTAGAATATGCAAAGCCCAGGTTCCATCCCCAGCACTGTCAAAATAGAAGTATAATTAATAGCAACCTTATAGCTAATTTTCCTTTTGTTTCTTTTTTTACTTAAAAAAGTAGAAAACAAGTTAGCTTTTTCTCCTTCAAAGACTGAAAGTACAATAATTTAAAATGCATTGCACAGAACATTTCTGCACCAACAGAAAATTATTGTTGGTAAACATTATTTTTTTTTTACAATGCTAGTGACCAAACTTGGCCTTAATTGTGTGCTAGGCAAGCATTCTACTATTGAGTCACACCTTTAGTCTAGCTTCTTTGTTGGTTAATTGGAGATGGAATCTCTTTAATTTCTACACTGGCTTGCTTCCAACCTTAATCCTCAGAGCTCAGCCTTCTGAGTAACTAGGATTGCAGGAAAGAGCCACTGGCTTACTGATTTTTGTTTTGCTTTGTTTTGTTTTTTGCCAGTCGTGGGGTTTGAACTCAGGGCCTGAGCATTGTCTCTGAACTTTTCAAGGCTAGTGCTTTACAACTTTGAGTCACAGTACCACTCCTGATTTTCTGGTGGTTAATTGGTTAATTCAAAGCCTGGGTTGGCTTTTTACCATGATCCTCAGATCATGGATAGCTAGGATTATAGGCATGAGCCACCAGCACCTTGCTTTTACTTACTTTTTAAGTCAATAAAATACATAAACTTTAAAAATAAGATACCAGTATTCTTAGGATTTTTTATATAGATTCCACAATAAAACTTATTTTTTTTAATTTTTTTCACATTTTTAATTTAGCTACTGGTTTTTGCAAAGAATTTGAATATAGAATTCAGCTTGGAGGCAGAAAGAATGATTCATGGATATTATCTATCAAGTCGCAGAATCAGAACGGACTCTATATATGGATCAAAATTGTCAGCATCTGCATTAAAATATTTGTAGGTATTCAAGATTTTAAGGCCAGTATTTACTTTTATATGATGTGATTAACTTTTCTATTTCCTCTGTTTTATTATTTCTTTGATTGCAGATAGGTTGGTTTATAATTTACCTTGTTCCAAAAGAATTTAAGGTGGTTTAACAATTATTTTGTTATTATTTACATCATTGACACCTCTAATATTTTTACTAAAATAATTTTAATGGCATCCCTGTATGAGATGTGCCTGAGAAAAAATACAGACTTCAAATGCAAATTATTGCTTTTTCTAAGCATGGCAATTTATATTTCAAGCATTTTTTCAGTTGGACTCAGAGAAATTCTTTAAATGTAATATTCCTTGCATTTTACTTTAAGTATGTTCAGTTTAAGGGTCTCGATTATAGCTCAATAAAGCTGTTCAAAAACAAAAAAGCAAAACAAACAAAACACACACACAATACAACAACAACAAACCAAGCCAGGGGGAGGGAGGAGTAGTCTACTTGGACACAGGCAAACATGTCTCCCCCCTCTCCCCCATCCTATGCCTTGGGTTGGAAAGGGATGAAAGGGTTTTCCTTCCTTCCTTCCTTCCTTCCTCCCTTTCCTTTCTTTCTTTCTTTCCTCTTTCTTTCTTTCTCTTTTCTTTCTTCCTTCCTTCCTTTCTTTCGTTTTCTTTATTTCTCTCTCTCTCTTTCTCTCTCTCTTTCTTTCCTTTCTCTTTCATTCTTTCTTTTCTTTCTTTCTCTTGCTTTTTTATTCTACTCCCTAAGATGGTTTCTCTACTTCAGGCAAACTGTCTGGCTTCCTACAAAATGAAGGTAGGTAGTGAAACCAGTGTGGGAGCAGCCATCTTGTCGGGACTTGCCACTATAAAAACAGGATAGCTACAGGGATCTTATATTATTAGCAACTCAGTGGAGGAGACAGGAAGTGGTATATCCTCAATCACCTACCTATATATCTTCAAATGAAAAGATAAAATAAGGTAGAAAAGATAAGGTAGAAATCAACTCTTCAATAAATGTTGATAAACAGAACTTTATGTTTTCTATTTCCTAAGCAAAATTTAAAATGCTCAAATCAGATTTTACTGCCTTAAAATTTCAAAAGTCCTTCTCTCTCATGTTTAACTGTAGTAAATTTTTTTGTATTTAAACTTATATAGGCTGGGAAGTTGGCTCAGTGGTAGAGTGCTTGTCTCACATGCATGAGGCCCTGGGTTCGATTCCTCAACATCATATAAGCAGAAAAAAGCTGGAAGTGGTGCTGCTGCTCAAGTGGTAGGGAGCTAGCCTTGAGCTGAAGAGCTGAGGGACAGTGTCCAGGCCCAGAGTTCAGCCCCCATGACTGACAAACAAACAAGCAAACAAAAGAACCTATAAAGCATTAGTTCACATATGACTATTTATCCAAATTTAATAGAGTTGTTTTAATGTAACTGTGTTTTCACATATATTAATAAATAGTGGGGGCTGGGAAGGTGGCTCAGTGGTAGAGCACTTGTCTTGCATGCATGAGGCCATGGGTTCGATTCCTCAGCACCACATAAGGAGAAAAAAAAACCCTGAAGTGGCGCTGTGGCTCAAGTGGTAGAGCACTAGCCTTGAGCTGAAGAGTTGAGGGACAGCGCCCAGTCCCAGAGTTCAGGCCCACGACCAGACCTAAAAAATAAAAATAAAATAAAAAATAGTGAGGAGTGGAGATAGATTTTATGAAATAGCACAGTAAAGAAAATACTATCAGAAACATTTGAAACTTTAATTTTTGACTCTATCTCTAAACAGGCCCTTCATTAGGCCATTTTTTCTGGAAAAGTAGAGCTGAATATTGTTGATCTCTTCTCTTTGTGTGAAAAACTCAGTACATGCTCTGTTCTGAGCTACATTTTTAGGAGCTTAGATGAGAATATGACAGACCTGATATTAAAGCATAATTAGGCACCATGGGTTGAGACTCACAGACCTGAATTATGGATTTTTTTTTTTTGGTGCCTGTAGTAGGGTTTGAACCCAGGGCCTGGACTCTGTCCCTTAGCATTTTTCACTGAAGGCTAGCACTCTACCTCTTGAGCCATACCTACACTTCTGGCTTTTTGCTTGCTAATTGGAGAGACAAGAATCTCATGGGAACTTTTGCCCAGTCTGATGTTGAACCTTGATTCTCATATCCCATTCTCCTGAGTAGCTGGGATTTCAGGTATGAGCCACCAGTGCCTGGCTTGAATTATGATCTTAATCTAGCAAGAATAAAGTCAATATGATAAATGTAAAAGCCTCCATTAGGGGCTGGGAAGATGGCTCAGTGGTAGAGTGCTTGCCTTGCATGCGTGAGGCCATGGGCTCAATTCCTCAGCACCACAGAAGCAGAAAAAATCGGAGGTGGTGCTGTGGCTCAAGTGGTAGAGCCACTAGCCTTGAGCCGAAGAACTGAGAGACAGTGCCCAGGCCCAGAGTTCAGGCACCACAGCTGGCCAAAAAACAAAAAACAACAATAACAACAACAAAAAACTCCCTAGTCTAACTAAAGCCTAATATCCAAAGATGTGAAAAGAACTTCAGATTTCATTCTGTCTATATTTAATATGAGTAAACAATGTAATACAGCTGTTATAACACAGGGATTTGGGATGTAGTAACAGAATACGTATCAAGAGCAAGGAAATACTATTTATTCTTGGCTTCCACTGTGGTCTCAGATCAAACCTTAGTACTGAGCTGAAAAGGAGGATTAAACTATTTTGGACACAAGAAGAGTAGCCAGGATGGGGAGGGACTGACAGTTATGTTTCATGGCATATTACGTTTTAGTTGTATATGGTGCTATGCTAGACAAGCATACTGAATTAAGGGATACCTACTTTCCTGCTATTTAAAAGTATTAGGAATGTTTAGCTTGGAGGAAAGAAAATAAAGGGCCACTATAAAAGTTACTTCAGTATTTAAAGAGCTATCACATCCAAGAGGTATTCTTTTTCTGTAGACAAGTGGGTGGCGATTTACTACTTTAGATTTATGTAACCGTTGTAAGTTATAAACTTTCAAGTGCCTTTATTTAGCATCCCCATTTTATAAGAGTTTTAAAAAATTCTCAGAAGGGGCTGGGAAGGTGGCTCAGTGGTAGAGTGCTTGCCTTGCATGCATGAGGCCCTGGGTTCAATTCTCCAGCACCATATAAGCACAAAAAAAAAGCCGGAAGTGGTGCTGTGGCTCAAGTGGTAGAGTGCTAGCCTTGAGCTGAAGAGCTGAGGGACAGCACCCAGGCCCAGAGTTCAGGCCCCATGACTGGACCCCCAAAAAAAAAAAAAGAAAAAAAATGTATACAGAATGAGATAGCTTTATAATTTGTTCTTACATTTCACTAAGATTATTTGTGTTTAAAATGACTAGTGATTGGGGCTGGGAAGGTGGCTCAGTGGTAGAGCGCTTGCCTTGCATGCCTGAGGCCCTGGGTTCCATTCCTCAGCACCACATAAGCAGAAAAAGCTGGAAGTGGCGCTGTGGCTCAAGTGGTAGAGCGCTAGCCTTGAGCTGAAGAGCTGAGGGACAGCGCCCAGGCCCAGAGTTCAGTCCCCAAGACCAGACCCAAAAAAAAAAAAGACTAGTGATTGGTGAAATATTATAGAACTTAATTTGCAAACTTCATTACTTTGTTGGAAGTGATTTATGATTAATATTTTAGATTATTTGTCACACTATATTTTTTTCTTCATTTAGGGGCCACTGTATTTTGTGTTGCTCCAAATGCATTATTCCCATTTGAACTGTATAATGAAGAGTATTTAGAGAAAAGGGATCTCTACCTCACTCAATGCCAGCAACAGCTCCAACAGTTCATTGCCACATGTGGACCTGGGACAGCTATTTTCTCTAGTGATGAATAAGCAGAGAAAAAAATTTTCATTCCTATTATAAACAATGGATAGTTTTTAGTCTAGAGTGATTTTGAATGTTTTAGATAATATACAGTAGTATCTGGATGTGTAAATGTACAAAATTAACTAAAAGGATACACACAATTCAAACTTAAAAAAAAAATCTCAGCTGGGTATAGTGGCTCATTCCTACTGTAATTCTAGCTACTACAAAGGCTGACATTAAGACTGCAATTCCAGGGCAAAAAATGTATGACTCTATTTCAAAAACCAGAGCAAGTCAAGCAATGGTGGCTCATGCCTGTAATCCTAGCTACTCAGGAGTCAGTAAAGTCCAAGAGATTATATACACAGGCACAGCAAAAAGGGACTGGTGGCTTAGCTCTAGTGATAGAGCATGAATTTGTGTTCAAACCCTAGTACTTACAAAATTTGTGATTCCAGTTATCAGTGAAAATGAAAAATCCTAGTTGTCACAAGATGGCAATAAAACTACCTATATACTTTTTCTTGCCAAATTGATGTTATTGTATTTACATAGTCTGAAGCTTAAAATGCTTTTATAGTTTAAGTCCTAAATGGAGTCAGGGAAGCCTTGAAATTGCCCATGTTGATTGACTCTAAGTAGCTACAAGAGTCCAAAAGGCAAGAGACCGACTTGCAAAATCAGTTATAGATGGGATCTTACTGTTGCCAAGGGTAGAACTCCTTGGTTTAAATCATCTTCTTGCCTCCAAATCTCATCCCAACTAGCTAGACTACAGTAGTGTACCAGAAAACCTAGCTTCTAGTCTTCATTAATGTATCAGTTTCAAAAATGCTTCAAAGAAACCAAAACATACTCCCTACAAATCATTCACTATTATAAAGAACCTACTGGTACTGGATTGTAAAACTATACCAAGGCTTATTCTAAAGCTGGCTCTGTATAACCTTAATGCTGTTCTAACAAAACATGTATGGATCAAAATTCAATTGCTAATTAGAGTTGAAATCCTTCTTGTCACTATCCTTTCACTTTTCTAGCTCCCTGGGGTAATGGTAAAACAGTGCTATCTCATAAAATCTAGAGTCTCTAGCTGAGTGCTGGTACTCATACCTTTATGCCTAGCTATTCAGGAGGCCAAGATACAAGGAGCATGATTCAAAGCCAGCCCAGGCAGGAAAGTCCTTACTCTTATCCCCAATAAACTACCAGAAAGGCCAGAAGTGGGGCTGTGGCTCAAGTGGTAGAGTGCTAGCCTTGAGCAAAAAAGTTCAGGGACAGCAACTAGGCCCTGAGTTCAAGCCCCAGGACCTGGGAGAGGAAGAGAGCAAGAGCAACAACTATGATCTCTAACCTTAATTTTAGTTGAAAGACAACAGAATTTGGGCTGTGCTGAGGACTGAATTTTGGTGGTCTTGTTGCATGTGAGGCATTCTAAGCCACATCCAAACCCCAAGTTTTCAAATGTTACCTATAATGTAAAGCCATTCCACCATGTGATTCTATGTACTATGTTGTTTGATATAAAAGCATGGAATGCATGAAATACACTTGGAGAAAGAAAGAAAAGCTGGCTAAATTTGGCCATTTCTCACTCTCCTGTGAGAGAACTGGCCTTGTCAGCCTTGCTGACAATAAACTTATTTTGCTCTAAAAAAAAAGGGGGTGGAGGGAGGGTAAATTTAAGTCTTACAGGCAGAAGAATTCTTGTGAATACTAATTTCTCCAAATATATTAGAAATAACACCACAGTTGTCCACCTCAATGAGAATCCTCCTTTCCCCCCAAATGATCTAGCTATTAGTGAAAATAAGCTGTCTAGTGAGTATGAGAGCAATTATTCTGCACTGCCCTGGACAATTAAGATAACTAGCCACGTATTTATTTTCTACATATATTTATTGCATTTAACAACAGTAAATTAATCTTCATCTGTTCATCTTCTTTTTACCAACTTCACTTTTCCTTCCAAGATGTAGCATTCCACATTCCTTAATAAAAAAAAGCCAGGTAAACATTTTTACTCAAGCTCAGTAGTTTTTAGCCTCCATTTTCTATCAAGTGCCAGCTAAAAAATAATTCTGAGTAATAAAATCATACCCCAGCCATTTGGAGTTATCAGATTGTTTCTTGAAAAGTTGCAATCACTTCAGGTAATGCAGTATTGTAACCACCACAGCTAATGGACTTGGGCATTCACCTATATATAGAAAAGAAAAAAAAATCACTCATTTCAATAAAAATTTCATTGCATCTTAGTAATTTATTTAAGAGATACTGGCATCTCAGTCTTAGAAAATTTCTTCAAAGAAGCCCTCAGCTGGGTAAACGGCAAACACTTATCATCATTGTGCCAGCAACTACACCACACATTCTGGCTACTTTAGAGATAAAAACACAAAGCAAAAACAAGCACAGTAACCTTGTGGTCCTCCCATGTGGTCCTACTCAGTTTTTTCAGCCATCTTCTATGACAAACTTCTAGGACACATTTGTCCTAATGAAACTATCTTCATGCAACTTCAAAGCACACAGGACTTACTGTACCTAGAATTAAAAAATTATCAGTTGTTATCCTACTTAGCACATGGGAACCATAAACAATAACCGCATTCAGATTGCCCTTTTTTTTTTTTTGGCCAGCCCTGAGGCTTGACCTCAGGGCCTGGGCACTGTCTCTGAGCTTCTTTTGCTCAAGGCTAGCACTCTACCACTTGAGCCACAGCACCGTTTCAGGCCTTTTCTGTTTATGTGGTACTGAGGAATCAAACCCAAGCTTCATGCATGCTAGGCAAGCATTCTACTACATTCCCTGCCCAATGACCCCAACTCTTAAGTGAGCTCTCCAATCCCGAAATAAGGCATGAGCAAAGGCAGAAAAATGGTGAAGCCAGTTATCACTGGGGGCAGTAATTGACATGTGGTCCTACAGGTACCAAGTCAATGTTTTTTTTGTTGGTCCTGGGCTTGAACTCTGGGCCTGGGCGCTGTCCCTCAGCTCTTCAGCTCAAGGCTAGCGCTCTACCACTTGAGCCACAGCGCCACTTCCGGCTTTTATTCTTTTTGCTTATGTGGTGCTGAGGAATCGAACCCAGGGCCTCAAGGCATGCAAGGCAAGCACTCTACCACTGAGCCACCTTCCCAGCCCCTGCTTTTTTTTTTTTAAATCTCAGAGCTTGACAGCAATGAGGTGAAAAACAAATACAAATGTGGGAAGACTTGGAAACATTAAGACAGCAAATCCAGTATTTTTGTAGCATAGATATTTAAAGTTGCCAAACAGACTTAAGGCTAGTGAGGAATGTCCTACAGTACCCTATAAATCATTTAAGCCAAAAGCCTCAATATGACTTACGTAAAAACTACCACGTCCCGACCTTGAAATGTTTCAATTATGAGGAATAGAATAGACTACTGGCTATGAGTAATCTCAAATTCAAAACTACCTTTAAAGAAAATCAGTGGGCAGAAAACTCCCGATGGGTAGCGCCTGTGGGAGTGGCAGGAAGCAGCAAACCGATAGGGTCGTGTTGTTAATCAACACGAGAAGTCAAACAGCTTCTACGTCGGAGCTCTCTCACGTAGTTTTGAAAATAATTTTTGTCCGAGGCCGGGACTCAAACTCGGTGTCAGATGCTTTTACTCCGAGGCTGGGCTCCAGCACTCGGCGGAGCCACGCCTCCAACCCCAACCATTTCCTTTCCAACAGTAAACGTTCAGTCTCCCTGCTGCTTAGCTTCCGCGTTCTACACCGGGAGCCCACTTCTCCCACAAGGCGTCTGGCAGGCGTTGGTGACTAGGCTTTCCGTACCTGCCCGATTGCTCCTCGACTTCAAGGTCTCTAGAGGATCTCTAAGGCTGAGTCCTACCAAAATGCTGCGACCGGTGCGGGAGGTGGGCGCGGTCGCTCCCTCCCCTCCCGGGAAGGATCCCCCCGTGC